AGGCTAGGGGTCGCCCTTCTTGCACTAGTACAGCTCCAATTCCGATGTCGCTCGCATCGGTGTGTACCTCGAACAAGACATCAAATCTGGGCATGGCGAGTACTGGCGTTGTCGTCATAGCTTCTTTTAATTTTTCAAACGCCTTTTCGCTAACTTCGGTCCATGTGAACCCGCCCTTCTTAGTCATTGCTGTCAGTGGCTTGGCGATGGTCCCATAATCCTTTACGAACTTTCGGTAGTAGCCTGTGAGTCCGAGGAATCCTTTCAACTGCGTGAGACTAGTTGGCTTAGGCCAGTCGACCATAGCCTCAATCTTTCGTGGGTCGACCTTCACACCGTCATGTGATATGAAATGACCAAGATATTCAACCATCTCTTGCCCGAATGAACATTTGGTTGGTTTGATGTGGAATGAGTTGGCCTCCAAAATTTCGAGAACTATTATTAGATGCCCAAGATGTTCGTCCCATGACTTTGAATAAATCAGGATATCGTCAAAGAATACCAGAACGAACTTACGCAGATACTCCTTGAAAATAGAGTTCATGGCGAACTGAAAAGTAGATGGGGCGTTGCATAAGCCGAATGGCATTACCAGATACTCATAGTGTCCCTGGTGTGTTCGAAAGGCTGTCTTAGAAATGTCGGCTTTGTGGAGTCGAATCTGATGGTAACCAGCTCTTAGATCGAGCTTAGAGAAATACCGTGACCCGGCTAACTCGTCAAGCATATCATCAACACTGGGGATTGGAAATCTGTCCTTGATGGTGGCAGTGTTTAGAGCTCGGTAGTCAGTACAGAATCTCCACGTGCCGTCTTTCTTTTTGGCCAACAGAACTGGAGAAGAAAACGGACTCTTGCTATGCTGTATGTGTCCTGATTCAAGCATCTCGGCCACCTGCCGTTCGATCTCGGTTTTCTGAAAGTGAGCATACCTATAGGGGTGGACATGAATGGCATGCTGTTCATTGACCAATGGTATGCGATGATCGAACTCTCGGTGAGGTGGTAGTCCTTTAGGCTCGCCCAGTACTCCTTCAAACTCTTCGAGAAGCTCACGCACACCTCCCTGTTGTTGTGCGTCCCTGTTCGGGTGTGCTCCCACGTCCTCGACTATTACTGCAAAAATTTGGCCTCCACCTCGCCAAACTCTTTGAATATTTTTCAACCCTACTTCCTTAGTTTCTTTATCAGTGCCGGCGCTTAGGGTGACCTGCCGTCCTTCGGAGTTGAACTCCATAATGCCTGTCCGATAGTCGGTCGTTACCTTGCCTAACCCTTCAAGCCATTGAATTCCCAGCACTACATCTGGCCCAACTAGTGGTAAAGCATACAAATCAGCTTTTATCGTGACCCCTTGGAACTTGATCGGCACCTTCCGAAAAGACTCAGAGCATTGCAACCTCTCTCCATTGGCTACTCGTACCTCAAAGGGCTCGATCTTTGTGGTTGGCAATCTCAACTTTTGCGACAAGTCAGCATTGATGAAATTATGCGACGAACCATTGTCTACGAGCACCACTACTCTTTGATCCTTGACCCATGCTGGTAGTCGCATTGTTTTCGGCCCTCTGATCCCCGCCATCGCATGCATCGAAACTTCAGGCTCCTCACTGAAGGTCTCAATCTCGTCCTCCTGATGTGATTCCTCCTCAACCTCAACCTCCTCGTCGTCCGGGTTGGCCACCTCAATTACAAAGACTTGCTTGCACTGATTCCCTGGGGTGAACTTCTCCTCGCACTCAAAACACAGACCCTTCTCACGTCGGCGTTTAACCTCCTCGGGGGACAGCCGCCTTACTATCGTCCCTGCTGGCCGATTGCTGGCGTTTGGCCGTGTGCCAACCGTGGCTTGGTTTGACCCCGTGCGCCGTGCGTCCGTGAATCGCACATCCGCCCGTCCCCTTCGCATAGCGACAAGGTGATCTTCTCGTCGTCGTGCCACTTCCATCGCGTCATGCATGGTGTCGGGCCTCTCGAGTCGAACTTCAGCAGCCAGGTCAAATTTCAACCCGCCAATAAACGCGTCAACTAATTCCTCTTCCGGCCAGTCGCGCACGCGGCAAGCTAATCGTTCGAACTCCCTGATGTATTCACGTAGACTGCCTGTTTGCCGTATGCGCGTAAGAGCCTCATTGTAATTATGGT